ATGGAAAAATATCATGACTTAAGATGATTCTGTTAGAAACTGGAATAAACAACAGTTTTCAAAAGAACGGGTAAAAGGTTCCCTTAAAAAATTATGGGATGATCGGTTTGTAGAATCTGTGCGAGGAAATAAAAAATAAAACTTCTTGTTATAATTACGCTCATGGGTACTGTAATGCCAGGAAAAATTTAGCATTTGCAAAGCTATTTACTGTGGCACTTCCTACGGAAATTCGAATGAAGGTGGGGGGGGGGCGAGCGTAAAGGTGTTAAGCCCCACAAGAGAAAATTTTTTTGAGGCCCTTTCCATTGCTCCCGAATTTTTTTTTACATAGGTACTTCACATTTTTGAAAAATGTCGCAAAATAATTTAATCATCTGCATTAACAAGTCTCTTGAGAAATTTTACAATTCCTATGGACCATTTCTAAAAATTTCGCTACTTATTTTCGGTGAAAATTGTTGCCAATATGTAACGAAACCTGTCGATTAAATTACGGTAATTGTACGGTAGCAGGCAGCCTAATAACGTGTCCGTAGTAACCTAGTCCCACCTTTAAAGATGAGAGTATCCGAATACTCTTTAAATCGATAAGATTATTTATAACGGATCTATTCTTTGATCAGTAATCACCTAAAAAACAATGTTGTCGCGAAAAGCATGATTTTGCGCTCAGAAAGACATGTACATAAGAGTGAAAAAGGCAAAAAAAGTTTAAGAATTTCTTATTCATGCCTATTTCTATGAGAAATTACTTGAAACTCTTTGATGTATTGTAGTCATTCTCAACACCTTCAAAGTACTCATACCAATTCAAAACATTGGTTCAATGGTATGAGAGAGAGAATAATCTTGAAAACCAGCAATCCGTGAAACCTATAATTTTCTGGATGACTTAACATGGTCTCGCACAAACTACCCTAAAAGTAATTGTGTAGGAAGAATTTTATTGAATCACATGGCAGTTATATGTTTCCTAAGTGGAAAGTTCTGTCATTGTCCAAAAAGTATTCTTTGTCTGGCTCAGTCATGGTGGCTCACAATCCTTACATTGTAAGTTATTTTTTCAGCCGGAGTTTACAGTAGAGCTATTGCGAGAAAGGAAAATGTTTTTTTGAATATAACTAGTCCTGAGGGTTATTTCTGGATTTTTTAGTCTAGAATTATTTGACTGTGTTGTTACTATTTAGTTTATAATATTAGCAAATCAATCTCTGATTCTACTTTCAAATCGCCAAATTTTTCGAAAAGCGATGCGAGTTTTTCTCCCACCAAGCACTTGCAGTATTTGGACGAAAGCCAAAACATACATTTTAAATGAAATTAGTTTATCGATGCACGACATTTCTTTCTAATTAATCGTTCAGCATGAAGCGGACAGAGTGCAAAAAATTCTCGAACACATTCTGATAGTGTCTACTGAACGAAATTTTGGTGTCATATGCAGCAAGTTGTTTGAGTTGAAAATATCGAGTTAAATATTTACTGCTTGTTATTTCTCCAATATCAAATGAAATTCCTTTTGAAGCTTAACCTTACTTTGCTTAATCGAATAGGCCGACAGCCGTTTTGCACCACTACAGTATCCTATGATCTACGCGCATGGGTTTTGCAATGGTTTGCGCACTCGTCAATTATTCATCTTCTTTTACACCTGGCTTGAGCAAAAGCCCTTTTAGGGGAAAAGAGCGTTATGTCCTCGATAGGCCCGTGTCACTGTGGTCCTGCATGGAAATAGCATGATAGACTTACGGTTGCACAAATGGTCCATACCCATCAAAAGGAGCTGTCTCATTTCATTATCCGAGGACTAGTAGAGTGGTGAAAATCTCACACACATACCTCATGACATTATTCTGATACAATTCATGAAAGTAAAATATAAAATATTGAATGATCTTAATTAATGAGTGCTTTGCTACCCATATCACAGATTCTATTGTTAAAACTCATTAGCAGAGTTTAGGTAGTAAGATCAATGATTAAGAAGTTTCGCATACAAGCAAGCACTCAGAGGCATTACCGCGCCGCATCGTCTGTTGCGGCACGGCGATGCCTTTGAGCTGTGGTCATCTGGCTGGTCGCGTGGCCGCAGCTCAAATGTATGTGCGTCACTGACGCAACACAAAGTCCATCAACAATTTTTCACCATTTTTAGACATTTTCATTGCAGATAAAATTCTATAAATTGCTATTGATTTGGAATAATTTTTGAAAAATCCCCAGTTTCACTCTATTCAGGCTTTCTAACAGCTAAGCGTGACTCTCTAAAATGTTAATTTGCTCGAAATTATCGAAGCTTCTAGAAGCATCTGTGTAGCAAATAATGCATAAAGAAAGATATGTACATAAGCTACGTAGTAGCTTTTCGTTTTCGTTTCAAGTTTTGTATTTGTACAGTGCAGCTGCACTGACGTTGAGCTCTATTGCGTCAGCGGAACGAAGCGGCCTATGCGACTCCGGATAACATCCAAGTTTTTCTTTGCAAAGTCAAAATCCTGGAATTCGGCAAATGCAAGATAAAGTGCGGTTCATAATTATACGAACACCCCAAATTTTGGAAGTTCCTGGACTTTTTGACAGAAACTCAAAAAGCCGTTGGTACCACGCGAAAGAGCACAGCCGAAAACGGTATATGATCCGTAGGGAAATGGATGTCAATCTTAAAAGTGTTTTTGCGCTTAATGCAATTTTTTAGCGCTTCATAATTATACGAACACCTCAAACAGAGGTCCATTTTTCATTCAAGATTGCAATCATTTGAGTCCAAATTTTTTGTAGAACTGCAGTAACAAAGTCTGACATATCTGCTACACACTGAACCCAGTGCAGTTCAAAAAGAGGACCGTCACTTTTGTCAGAAGGCTCCAAATGCTTTTGGAGTGATTGCGCTCCAAAAATATCCGTTCTTCTGTGGTTTACGCGCTCTGATTAGCTTCTACCAAAGCTATGAAATAAAATAAGCTCTTTTGATAGGTATTTTTTTAACGCTTGGAAAATCTTTGCGTTTTCGTGCCGTTTTTCAACCAATTTCCAACCTTACCACAGAGTTAGCACGATTCTAAGCCTCAAAACTCAGCTTCTGAAGCCGTACAATGAAGTAAGCACATAGTATGTGGAAGTTCACAACACTGCATATTTGGTTGAAAAAAATCAGCAGCGCTGAGCGTTTGTTTTGGCCACGCAGACGTCATTTCACCAAAAACACTGTTTTTACCATTGCAATCACACCTTTATTTGGTTTGTAGGTCCACAGCCTCAAGATCAGTTCTACAAAAAACCCAAAAAGTTTGACACAGAAACATCATCACGCAAACAATGCAGCGGCTTCATTTCAGATGTTTGCGCAAGAGAGAAGCTGAGTTTTGAGGCTCAAAATCGTGTTAACTCTGTGGTAAGGTTGGAACTTGGTTGAAAAACGACACGAAAACGCAAAGATTTCTCAAGCGTCAAACAAAATACCTATCGAAAGAGCTTATTTTATCTCATAGCTTTGGTAGAAGCTAATCAGAGTGCGTAAACCATAGAAGAACGGATGTTTTTGAAGCGCAATCACTCCAAGAGCATTTAGAGCCCTCTGAAAAAAAGTAACGGTCCTCTTTTTGAACTGCATTGGGTTCAGTGTGTAGCAGATATGTCAGACTTTGTTACTGTAACTCTACAAAAAATTTGGACTCAAACGATTGCAATCTTGAATGAAAAATCGACCTTTGTTTGAGGTGTTCGTATAATTATGAACCGCTAAAAATTTGCATTAATCGCAAAAACACTTTTAAGATTGACATCCATTTCCATTCTTATGGATCGTATATCGTTTTCGGCTGTGCTCTTTCGCGTGGTACCAACGGCTTTTTGAGTTTCTCCCAAAAAGTCCAAAAACTTACAAAACTTTGGGTGTTCGTATAATTATGAACCGCATTTTATATAGTCCCATTCGCAAAATTTTATTCCATTCATAACTCTCAAAATTTTTGAGTTTATAGTTTACATAATGACAATCTTGCACCAAGCTTTGCTCCTTCAAATAGTTGGAAAATGCATTAGAATCTCGTCTTGTCATCTGCTTTCGAGAAAGTGTTCTTTGCTGGTGCTCAAGAGAGCTGTGCGCCAAACTCACGGGTCAAAATCTCAATGATTGCCTTTAAGCTGGTTGAGACATGATTGACAAATGTTGGCTTTCCATTTGCTATAAGCTTACTGAATAACCTGAAGTCGTTTTACTAGAGTCGTCTTTTGCTAAAAGTGATATGTAACTATTGGATTGGTCCTTATGTTCGCCCATTCCTTTTATCGAAAAAAATCATAACTTCTTATGCATCTTAGCGGGATTTATTATTTTCGTTTGGAAGCAGAAATCATGCGTTTCACAGTAGCACCTCGGTTTGAATTAGTGTGAGGAAACGAGAGAGAAATATCAATAACAAGTATCTAACAATAAGATTTTAATTTCAAAAATGTCCTTCATAGAAAAAAAACTGTAAAATTTCAGAGCTTTCGTAATACTTCAGCTTATGATTCAATACAGTAAGCGACCTTTGTTGAAAAAAGTCTATTTTTGCTCATTTCTCATCTGGCAATCTTTCAGTACTTTCACTGAGTTGTTTTGAAAATGCAATTTCAAGTAATTTTTATCTGATTCTGGCTTTCACAAGTTTTCAAACTAAATCGCAGCAAAGGCACTATTGTAATGCGTATAATTTCCTCCTTCTAAAAAAAATCAACTTTAGTATTTTTCTTGGCCCTAATAAATAAAATTCTCATACTGATTCATATCGAAGGTTTGCTGAAAGGGAATAAATTCTGAAAAGCTACATTATCATTGAAAAATATCATTCAACGTGGGACAAAATACAAAAATTCTTTCATTGTCGAGATACTGTAAGATGCTTGTCGTATGCGCCGATATCTATTGCATTACAGTATTCTTATCATGCCGCATATCTTCAATGCTACTGAAATTTATATCTTTCAAGAACTGCTAATTAATAGCTATGTTCCAGATGTATTCCCCCGTGATGCGTCGAAGTGTTCGGCGACTACCGCAGACACCAACCGAGTCCCCGGCTCTAGGACACCGTCAAGTTCAGGAGGTCCGAAGCGCTGATCCTATTATAAAGTGAGTATTTTTCATTATTCAATGGTCCCATTTGTGCAAAACTGTTCAGGCTTGCCATTCTCTTTTTTTTAAATCTTAGATCTCACATTCTTAAAATCCTGATACATACGTCTTGTAAAAAATTTGCAAATTTCATGATTTTCTCCAAATTTAATGAAATCCACTCCAACACATGGAGAGAATTTGGACTTTCCAAACGCTTGTAGCAAAAATCTAAAAACTATATCGCAATGATAAATGCCGATAAAGAGAAAACTTCAAGAAGTAATTTTGATTTTGCTGAAATTATTAAAACGTCAACTACTCTCCTATGTCAATTGCTTCTGGTTTATAGCAATTTTCTACCTGAAAAAGAAACCGTGATGATTGAATGGTTTACGGATAGCTTTAAGAATTTTTTTCAGTTTTTTACTTTCAGTAGAAAAAAGCTTTGAGATTTTTATCAATACAGCTTTTGATATATGTTGCATTAAGTAAAAGAATGCTTGGAAAAAATCATTTGTACATTTTTAGAGCGAAATTTTCATATTTTGGTGCAAGATCCATACAACAATTCGATAGATCCCAGCTATCTATTAAAATGTTATTTTAGAAAGTGTAGAAAGAAAATCTTTGATCATCTCTGTGTTCAACAAACCATTAATCTAATGATGGACTGAGTTTTTGTTACAAGTGCTTCGGCACCATCTCCTAAGACCAGTCTATAGCAAGTGCGAGGAGTAAAAGTCTACGTCAACATTAGAAAAAACTTTCATCAAACCGGTGCAGTCAAATTCTTCATAGCAGTTGTTTTATAGTTTCGAGAAAGCTCATCTACTCTTTGTCAAATTCTATCAGTTTCTGTGGCTGAGGTAGATAGCATTTGAACTGCTCCTTGATAGCTTAATTTTCTTGATCTATAGCTATCAATCTAGTCAGTGTGAGCTGCGGACTATTGTTTGGCACTGCTACTTTCTTCAAAAAATTGAAAATCTAAGATTTAAAGTCTTAGCTTCTAAATTCGATTTCAAATTCATGCATTTCATTGCCGCTGCATTGCTACTGACGAGACTACAAAATTCATTGCAGGAAGGCATAAAATGAAAAAAAAATATTCGTTAGTTTACACAGGCAATAAATTATTTCTAGAACCGCTTTCGCACATTATACCCTGTATTTCTCGAAAAATTCAAACCAAGCTCTTTGTTATATGTTTCTTTGACTTAGAGAATAGTTTTTGTTATTCTGCTTTTCATACCTATTTTTACCGTGCGAAATGGTTAGAGCGTATAGAACGAGGAAGGATGTTATGGAGTTTTACTTTATTTGGCCTTATTGACCTTCTTTTAAAATCTACAGGAAACTATAAGATCAATATAAGTAATTTTTTTATTTTTATTTTTATGCATACACTCGCGGTGCACCATTAAAAAATCGAAATCGAACAGAAAATCAAGGTAACACAGAATTAAGACAAAGAATCAGCCAATCCTCAGTCACAGAAGGAAGAAGAGATGAAATGGGAGACAAAACTAAACAAGACAATTACCGAAGCTCCATAATGACGATGTAGCCATTAATTGCAGCATACCAAAGGAAAAAGCGCTATGTCCAGAACAATCTGTAGAATCTTGCTTCTTCTAAAGTTAATGAAGACCCTGTTTTTGGGTGTCAGCGAGCCCCCAATTCTGTCATTATTCGAGTTCAACTTCTCAAAGTAATTTCTTCAAAGGAAAACTCACGCAATCTTCAATTATAAGCATTATTTTGAGAAGTTTCCACTATTTCTTCCTATTTTTTCTTCTTTTAGCCAGAGTTAACCCCAAAGTTGCGTCACAAATTATTATTAATATTTACGATATAAAAATCTAAGTGACAGTAGTTTTTTCCTTGCGAACAATTTTATATCGTCAAGGTCTAAAGCTCCGTTTAAAGGAAAGGGACGGATCGGAGAAAAACACGTCATGTTGTTTTTTCTTTGAATCCAGAAATGTGGCAAGAATCCAGAATCACCCACGCTTGAAATTTTTGCAAAGAAAAATGATCCTTACGATTTATCGTATCGCTTACGTGACGTGCTCATGTGCAAATATTCGCCCACACTATAGCTCTCATTCAAGATCATTTCTTCATTGAAACTTTTTACACCTTTCTGAATTGCATATAAGCCTTAGTAATGTATGAGCTCGTACCTTCTCGATTTTCCTAGAGTAATTTACTACTTACTTACTTACTCCGAATGATGCGTGGCACCTGGGAACAGCATATTTGGCATCAGCGTTCCAGGCTGATTCCAAGTATATGATGTGTCTTATTCAGAAAGCGCGAGCTAAGTTAGGTAGCTTCCCTCGTTAGGTATGCGTGGTATCTATTGGTACTTTACTAACGTTTTACGCGCAACATTCTGAGAAGAACGTGCCAAGCGCGAAAAATTCACAAAACTACCTCCATACTTTGTAGGATTTTGGGACTATTTCTATAATGATCTCACAATCTGACTTGAACAATAAAAATTTACTTTTTCGCTTTTACCTCAAACGGAGGAAACTATACGACCGCTCCTGATGCTTGCATTGGAGTGGGGAGGGTTTTAAATGAAGTGAAATTATCATAAATGGAGCCCTATTTATCGGGGATTCCCAGCAGCTGGCCCAGAAAGGTTCTAAAATGAAGCCCTCTTTGATTTGGGAAATTTTTTGCGAAGTCTTTTGTCCTTTTTAGACTCCTTCTCCCCTCACTTACTACTCCTCGCTTGCCTTTTGTGCTGTGCCCGCTCACCAGAATAGATTATTTAGGGGGTGGAAACCCCCATTTCACAATTTATCGCACAAAAATTTCAAATTCATGATTTTCTGCATATTGCACTGCTCTCTGCTATTTACATCTCCGCCGTTCGAAAAGCCAAAATACTTAGGCCATTAAAAGGCTATGACCAGGACACTTTTTTACGCAAAAAAGACCATATCTGACTCTATCTTTATCTTTGAGAAAAATATCACAAGAACTCTAAAGTCTTTAGGTTCATCAAAGAACACTTTTTAGACGAGATCCCAGATGTGGTGGTCCATGACACAATCTACAAGCATCGTCTGAATCTTGATTTCAATGTTTAGTAACAACGCATCAGTTCTTAGAGTGATGTGTGATCGAAGAAATCAATTTTATCGATTTTATGTGGAGTTTCATATTTGTATTGTTAGAGACTTAGTCTAGCAATGACCTTGATGACATCTCGAATTTGCATACTCGAAATACGACTAATTTACAAAAACTTGCATGATTTGCGAACCGCTGGAGTGTCCCCTGTCAGCTCCTCGTGGACACATGAAATCGGAGATGATGTTTACTTCCGGCTATTCTTTAACATATCGTATACTTTCTGTTCGTAGATCGAGGCCCGCCACGAGTCACTTGGCTTAGCGCTACCTCTCCTTTCATTTTGAAAGTTTATGAGGATTCTTGGGCCTCGGGAAACCTTCGTAACTCTGACTCAAGTTTATGACATCTCAGAACCTGAACTCTATAGCTGTAAAATCGGACATATTTTTTGATGTTTATCATGCAAAAAAGTGTGGAAGCTTTTGGCAGCTCATGCTGTAGGTATATAAAGAATGCAAAGTGTAGTCATTAGTTAATTGATGTGTGCACTGCACACTGCGCGCGGCATCTCACGACGTGTGTGCTTGCAAAATGCCAATATTGGAAGCTTTCTTCTTATTTTATCCTCTTCTTGATAAACAGCTATAACTATAACATAACCTATCAAAACTGATTTTAGCAAATGTGTGCAATTAAATACGTGGAGTGGCGCGTGAGGTGTGCAGATACACATAACTAGTTATGAATGACTCAAACTGTAATCGCTATTGCGATGGCTACAGCAAGATGATTTTTGCAGCGATTTCGAGAGCCACTTCATCTTCTTTCCTTTTTTGCCATATTTTTTCCTGGTGTGTCAGTACAATGTTTTGCCTTTGACGTAGTTTTTCTTTCGAGTTTCTATATTTTTCTTCATATTTAGGAGCACGTCCGTTATAAAAAGGCCACTCTTGCGAGAAAAATGTCGATCTTAGGTGTTTTTTTACAATTTTAGAATCTGGTTTCGTAGAATTTGAATTCTTTTTCAAAGTTTATTGGGAAGAGTTTGATCTCTGGCTGGGTGGAAGAAGAGCGGAGAAGACGAACCTTCAGAAATGCAAAACTCAATAAAGCTTCTAAGATAGTATCTCACGAGTTTTATTACAGTTTGCTGATTCTTCTCACTTCAAGAAAAGTGAATTTGGAAACATTCGTGGACGATCTAAGATATGTATTGTCTAAATCAGAGTCGTCTACCATTGCTGAACCACTTATCCCAGAACAAGCTGAATTCTTCAAATAATTTCAGGAAATAACGTGAATCCTCAAAGCTCTTGCCGTCCAGTTTATGACGTCGTTAACGCATTTCATTGGCTTGTAAAATTTGCAGCTCACTAATCCTTTTGCACATCTCCTGCTCTTGTTGAAACAACCCCAACATTCTGTCATTCCAGCTTTCCACTGGTTTCAGAGAAGCTGCATATGCTTAAAGGAAATAAAGCTAATCTCAAAAGCTGGAAATGTTCCGCAGATTTCGCTGGATTTTTTCTTCTTTCAGCTCCTACCTGTTCATGATAGTTTAGAATTTACCCAAAAGCGCAATGGCTAATTTTTCAGATCAAATTTTGTTATGTCTGAAATGTTGTATCAAAATTCTGCTATAGGTTCAATCAGTAAATAAGGTAGCGGTTGTTTTGCGGTCATTTTGATTTGGAAATCAGATCTCACTATCTGTCAGCACTATTACAATACACTCTAAGTTTTATTCATTTCTAAAGTAGCAGTACATTTCTATTTTTGGGAGGGATAGAAAAAATGGGAAAGACATGACTTCAGTTCCTCTAATTTATCTTATCTTATAATAATCGTTCTTTCCTCTCTAAGCATCCCTAGCACCCCTCCTGGTAATTTCCAATTTATCTAAAGGAAATATTAGGTTGTCC